TTTGTGTGGATTGAAGAAAATGAAAGATATCTTCTGGTTTATAAACACGACAAATCACATGGAAGCTCCAATTTTATACAGTATGTAAATGTTTCCCTAAGGATATTCTAATTGCCTGGAAGTCAAAAAGATAAACAAAATGGTAAATATGGCTATTCCTATGTTAACTGAATTTAACAAAGGAAAATATGTTGAGTTTTAGAGAAGTAAATATATGTATGAAGCTCAACAAAATTATTCAAATTTCTTAACATTATTTTATGCAATTCTTCTCCATAAAACATGTATTGATACACCGAAATACTAATGTGCAAAGTATTGAAATAAAATTCTAGCGATATAGTTCTATACGTAGGATAATTTACACATTAGATTTTTTAGCTCGACTTTTTTCGAAGAAAGGGTAAGCTATTGCTGAAGTCATGCTGTCGTTGTCGTTGCTGTTGCCAACGCCGTAACGCTGGCCATATTTTTTTCAATGGATTGCCTTCGTTCTTGGACACAACAACCCCTTGGACTAGACCTTGATGTTTGCCCGCCCATTGCTCATAAAGGACTTTTAAGGTCAAATTACTGAAGTTTGCGTTGTAATGTATGAATGCATTTTCTTCATACCTGTTCACAAATATCTTACGTAGAATGGTTAAGAGTAAATTAAATTCAATTTGACTTTAATCTTGAAAGTCATATTGTAATTACGAAGTAGTTAATTTTTATTACATGCTTTTTGGTAGTTTATATAGAGGATATGTGTTCGTTTTGCATGTAAGATTGAAATATATTTCACTGAGTGAATATACGCCTCTCGTGAAAATAGAATAGGTGGTGTTCCCGAATGAAATAAATTGCAATCTTATATGTTAAACAAATAAATTTTAATTTATTTCATGCTTTACTTCATGAGCATTTTGTGAAAAATGGCTGTTTTCATTGAAAAATCTCCCGTTACAAGTTCAAATTGAAATAAACTATAAAAACTGCTTCAACACATATCAAACTTGGCACAAATGTTCACTGGACCATTGTCCTTGCAACAACATGCTCAGGCTTAAATTTTCTGTTACCATGGCAACGAGGGGACATCTCAAAATTGCCAAAAACACTATTTTGCGTTGACTTTTTCCATTAAAGTGCTGCAACTTCTCAATGGAATGAGATAGAGTCGAATGCTTTTCAGTGTTGGTTACACGTTACCTTGATCAATCTGGGGTCATTTATAGCTTCTCACATGTCCAAAATTTTCTTGGCACCTCCCCCTTCTGGCAACCCCCTGATGTATCTTTTGATTGGAGGGCCGCGCCGAAAAAGTGGTCACTTTTTTAACAACATTCCTCAAACGAAAACAAGTGTTGGGGGCCTAAATAAGGCATTTTTTCACCATTTGAGACAACAAAAATGAAAGGGGGGGGGTGAAAAAGGCGTTAAAAGGCGTGTATATCGCGTAATGGGTTAAGTGATTTTATTTATTTTTTACTGATTTTGCCGCGTAACATCGTGCATTCTCCTTTATAACGTCAAAACATCATTACGTCACATCATCAATTTTGAAATACAGTTCTGTTATATCTCTCTAAGTTTGTTACATTTTAAACATTTTAACATGATAAATGATGACATCGACTTTCTTTTCTTAAAGAAGGAACATTTACGTATGACTTTTGATTTTTGCATGCTATTCCATTTAGTTTTGATATTCTTTTCATCCGCATTTATATATAGTCCAGCAGACATTTTCACAAAAAAATCCTAGTCGATTTATCTTACGTTTTTTGACTTACAATAATCGTTAGTTATATCTTAAGTCATTTTCACAAAGCCACTCGTAAGTTAAAATTTTATCTAAAGATAAATATTTACTTACGTTTAATCTTACGATAAAACATCCCTAGCAACGGTCATTTTATATTGATGTGCATGCTCTATATTTGTTTACAGTTTTAAAATCAAGTAATAAAGAGCTTGAAATATATATATATTAAACACAATCAATAAGAAAAAAAAACATGATTCAAACTTATAGACCTATATTTGCTATCTTGATCAAAAATATTTGTATATATCCTAAAGATTCATACAGAAGGTATACTGCGTTATTAATAAATAAACAGGTACCACTAATACATACTGGCAATGAAATCGAACTCACCAAATTGTACAAAAACATTAGTTTTCAAGAATTCCATATACTTTACATATAAACTATTCATAGCCATCTCCACCATGACGTCATCAAGTAATGACGGCACAAATGTTAATGTTGGAAAAAGATTTTTTACTGAATTTGTGTCATTTATAACATACTGTTTGCTTATAATATATTTGTTCATCCATGAATTGTTTATTTTCATACTGTTTATATAAAATATATATGAGATAAAAAATTACACTTACTGCTACAGTGAAAATTATATTATGATCTGATTTATTACAGTAAAACACCGGAAAGCATGTAATAAAGAAATATATCAGTGCAATAAAGAACTGTTATATCACTTTTTGAAACAGTTAAATTATCAATTTGATAATTTTCAGTGTTTTAAATTTAAGACCGTGACGTTGTTTCAGTGAAAAACCAGCGTACATAATACTGGAAACCAACTTACTGGTGTGACTTCGTAAATGACGTTACGTTATATTATTATTTGGCTAACATTTCATTTAGCATTATTATAAACGTTATTTTGCAAATAATAAAACGATTTGTTTAGTTTAGTGTAAAATCGAAATATATTTCACCTCGTGAACACCAAAAGTTCATATTTCTGCGCCACTCGTGAAATATACCTTTTAGTGTTCAATCGGTAAAATATATTCTGATCTTACACTGAACTAAACAGATATCCTCTATATAATTGGTTAACTTCATGTAATGAACGAATGTCTTTACACTTGGCCACAACTATCCTTCGTGCAAGACATTTAAAAAGTTTAAATTGAACTTAACATTATATTCATTTTTTTCATTATCAAATTGAGGTGATTTTAAATTAGTTAAGTTTATACAAATGTATTTTAATTGGATTGTGTTGGAAGCTATAAGATTATCGAAATCCGTTCCTGGAACCAAACAGTACTAAACAAAAATGTAAAGTTTCAACGGCTTGCCCCTGACAAGGTTTTAAACCCACCCGGATTTGATCTGATTTGAGCTGGTTTGACTATGAATTCAAATAATTGACTGTTGAAATAGTGACATTAACCAAAAGTTGATATCGGGAAATGTTTATAATGACATATAAATCTGCCTAAAAGTTGATATAAACAAAACGTTACAGGTAGATGTGATGAATGTCTTGAGTCATGCAGTTATTTATTGTAAATGCGCAGTAAGTTGTAAAATGTAAGGGTTTATGGTTAACTTAAACCAAAATTTATTTTGATTTTCACCTGTTCACTCACTATTTACGGGCAAAATGCCAATTTAATCTAATTAAGTAAATTTGCTAATCTTGGCCATAACTTTGTTATTGATCTTTGACTTTAATTCAAACTTGGGAAAATACTTATAAAATGACATATTTAGAAATAATTGAAAATAACTTTGGCATTAAATGACCTTTACCTTCAAAATCAAATACTGAATTTAGGGAAAAATTCATAAATTTGATATGCATTTGTTTGTTTTTGTTTTGGGTTTTACGTCACATCGACACAGTATAGTCATATCGCGACGTTCCTGCTTTACTGGTGGAAGAAGACCTCAGGTGCCCTTCCGTGCATTATTTCAGTCACGAACGGGCACCTGAGTAGAATCACCGACGTTTCGTAAGCTAGCTGGATAGCTTCCTCACATGAAAGAATCCAAAGTCACTGTCGGAAATAGAACCCACAGCGGTGAGGGTGATATGCATTTACCGATTTGGATAATACACGTACAAAATTCGGCAAAACGGTATGATGAATAATACAAATTTGACAATGACATTTATTTGACATTGCCTTTCAGTCAAGGTCGAACGTTTAAAATTAGCTTTTTGATAAATTAAATCATCATTATTTTGTTATTTATATACATATTTGATTTATATTTGTACAAAATAATACACATTACCCATTTTGTATTATTTTAATATGACCGTAACCTATTTTTTCATTTACTTTTGAAAGTTAACTAGTGTGTCTGCAATTGTCATACAATTTTGCTGTTTTTAATGCTTCCGAGGGATCACTTTATTTCAAGATATTTATACATCACAACAGCAGGTGTCAAGTGCTTTGTGTTAGCCGTAAGAAAGTTGCCCCGTACTTCACTTCAGTGTTGTTATGAATGATGTTGCACTATTCCATTATCCCTCATGAACAGACTCAATTAAACCGAGTCTGCAATTTTCATGTAATTTTGCAGTTTTAAAGCTTCTGATGAATCACTTTATTTCCAGATGTAGAAGGTCAAATTATTGGAACTTTATTGAATTGTCATTACTTTGACATTTGCTTATTGATTTGATTCATTCTTTGGTAAAGAACATTCATGACAAAAGTGACATGATTATGGATTCAAACGAGACCTTAATCTTCAAAGTCTAATATGAAATGTGCATGTAATTCTGTTTAAGTAATTCTGTTTTCTACGTGTCCTTTTTACTACAATATTCTTCCTCCCGATATGTATGACTTAAAGAATAAGGAAAAATCGAGCATGATCTTATGAGCGGTGACTAATAATGTTATTTTGTAAAAATTGTAGGGGTATATCGGTTGAAAAAGTGTAAAATATCAATAAAGGTTATGTGGTGTTTATATTTCACAATTTTCACAACTTGTAGCACAGTTAGGCTTTATTTGCATACTTATTTTGATGAAATATTTATTTTTAGGCGGAAGAAATGAAAGAAAAAGAAAATGATTTAAGAACGAGATTGCTATTGACTTTAAGATCATGCGTATCAGATTGTGACTTGAGTGCTTGGGTTATTCTACAAAGTGAATTTATTAAAGAACAAATGGACATTTATTTGTCTGGCGTAGAAAAGAATTTATTATATCCCAACAATTTATCCATGTCTTACATGGACACATGGAATATTCCTCTTCTATGCTTCGTCCTTGCAGGAATTTATGGGAAAAGCTCTATCAACATTCATTTGATTAGGTCAATTGACCAAAGAAAACAGCCACCACGTTTTGATCGTGGAGCATTAGAAAATCTTATTAATAAGGTTGACCGTAAGTAGGCACATAAAGATATAAATTTGCATTTTTGTAAAATTTTAAATTGCAAAGTCTCGGCTAAGTGTCGATATTATTGTGTTATCGTATTAAAATTGTATTTATACTTGTATCTGTATAAAAATACTTTTCTGTTCTATGTCATTTATTTTATGTAATTACGAATAATTAGTTATCATTCCCGATACTCCATTTTACTATTCTTTAATCTTTTATATGTCCGAAAAAGTAACAACTTCATAAAATTAGGCCTACCTTATATGTTGCATGTCGGATCTCATCGTTTCTTTTCGACAAACTTAAAGTAAGGTATTCCAAGACAATTCTTGCTTTGTGTCATTTTTTATGCCCCTACAGATAAAATATATACTTAAAACACAATTATGTTTTATAATGATACGATTTTGCACCGAACACATATGTATTTCATTTTAAGCATTGCTATTGACATTTACAATAATTAAGTTACAAATCTCGAACCACTCCTGATTTATTTTTAATCGGTATTTTAGGAAAGCTGACAAGTTCAATGTTAGCACTTCAGACTAACAAAAGAAATCAAACAGATGAAGAAGAATTATCAGAGAAAGAGAATGAAAAAGGTAGACGTTTTTTAAACTGTGTGCAATATGATCTACTAAGTTAACATTGTCTTTAAGTAAGAGTTTATTCTAAAGACAGTTTGAAAATACCACAAATTAAGTACATGAAGTACAGTTTGAATGAAAAAGGTATTAACATTTAGTATATGAGTGTATAATAATCTCAATGTTTACTTTTTTCTCAATTGCGTTCTTATTTTTTTCAGCTATGCAAACCACATTCCTTATCAAACAGTTTCGATTAGATTATAATACTTTATGAAGATTTTGTCGAAGTTATTTTTAAAGCCTTCACAAAAGATAACATTTTATTCAATATTAAACAATAAGGCGTTGAATTAATCTTACGAAAGTTAAATAATTAAGAACAAGTTTCATAGCTTTTGTTTCATATTTACTTCAACCTATTTAGAAAAATTAAATGCAACATATATCAAAACACTTATTTCAATGTGCTTTTTTTTATCTAAAAAGGGTACGTAATATCTATATTTTACAATTTATACAATAGTAAGTAAAATAATTTAAAATTCTCTTTTAAAAAATATAAAAATGAACATTTATTCATGTTCCAACATAAAATATTCATTATTAAAATGATTATGTATATAATTATGATTTTATATAACACAGGTGGTGAGATAACCGAACACTCTAATCTTGAAGAGTCCGTATCAAAGGTAATGTTGAATGTGTACAAAAACAAAACCAATGTTATGCGATCAATTTAATATGCTGTAAACATAATATATTTTCAGGCAAAATATATGAATATATATTTAAAGCAAGTTATCTTAGTATAAATATGCTTGTTAATTTATTTATGTTTTTTATTGTTTAATGTAAACAAAAATTGCTAAATGACTCATTTTCTTCAATGTGTATAATGTCTTATAGGACGAAGAAGGTGCTGAAACAAGACAAAAATACTTGTTTCAAAACGTATGTGACGAAGAAAAAACTACAGACAAAGGAAAAATATCAGACAGTTTGAATGAAAATGGTATTAACGTCTAGATAATGAATGTGTAACACGTCTTGTATATAAGTGTGTAACAATCTAAATGTATACTTTATCATTTTTGAATACCGATTTATTGCAGCTTTGAAAATCCTTTTCAAAAAATTTCGGTTTAATATGTGCTGAGATTATAAAACTTCATGGCAATTATGTCGAAACTTGTTATACTAAAAATAACAGTTTATTCAATATTGAACAATAATGCATGGAATTCAATTAGTAAGTTTCCTAGGTAATACGTAAAATTTTCATAGCTTTTGTTTTATATTTACTTAATTTGTTTGATAAATTTATTTCAATGAGCCCTTTTAACAAAAAAAAATAAGTTAGCCAGTTACCATATATTTACAAATCATAAAATATAACGGAATATGATGATTAAGGTTTTTCTATACTCTTGGTACTTATGAACTGTTGTTTTTTCTAATTATGCCGCGCCGATTCCATGATGTAATGAAACAGATGACGATGACATACAATCTCTCATGACCTCATGAAAGTATTTAATTAAATTGAGTCTCTAATATTTATTTTGCTGTTGTCTTTGTGTTCGTTGTGTTAGAGGGACTATCCCATTTTAATAATGTTTACAATATATCAATGATAAATACAAATATCATTACTTTTCTAGATTGCAAAATTCTAGCTTTATGTAGTCTAAAAAATCAAATAGTTGATTCTATGTTTGAAGAAAAAAAATAAAGTACATTCATGGCAACGTTGCACTAGATGTGTATATGCACGTATAAAGTTTAGCAATTTAAAATTCCCTTTCAAATGATAAATAAAATAAGAAAATATATAATAATTCTGAGTGCATTGTTGTAGAATAATGCACAGTTTGAGTGCAAATGAGTAGTAATATAATCACGAAGGCCGATAGTCCTAAGTGATTTATTACAAAACATAAGACCGAAAAAACGTTCATTATAATACAATAATGCACGAATAATTAAAATCAGTTTCGATTTTAACAAGTCAATAAAAATTAAATATAGCAGGAGTTAACGTTTGGTTGTTAAACATGTTTTGCCTCATAGTTTCCAACAGAAACTTTCTTTAAAGGCTGCTTCAATCGGTGGAAAATAGCTGTTGTTAAGTCTACGTGTGTAGAAACATTTTGAGAACGAACATTGAAAAAGTTAATAAAATTTTGTATGTATCTTTTATTTCACTCTAAATTTTTCAATGCAGTGCATTTATAGTGAAATAAATGTGAAATTTAACTGGCTTGCGACATTGAATAAGCGTTATTGTTTTTACTATGCATGTATTTGCATATGCTGTTTAGCGAAACATTGTGACGTCACGTAAACAACACGTTAAATGTTTGTACAGCGTAAACGAGTTAAAGATATTTGTTTTCTTAGTAAGACAATTTTCTTTCATTTTACTAGTTAGTTTTCACAACAAAAATCGGCAAAAACTGTTTTTATCTATCAGATATTTCAAACAAAATGGCGCCGTCAATGTGACGGTTTGAAAATACAGGGGGAGGAAAAAAGAACGGCGAGTGCATTGTTGTGAAATATATCACGCTTCCGCCTTCTTTGTTCATATAAGAGAAATATCTGATAGTGTTAGAATGAAACTTTTATTCGCGTTCCAACGTAAAATATTTATTATTATGATTAGAATAATTATGTATATAATTATGATATTATATAACACAGGTGGCGAGATAACTGAACACTCTAATCTTGAAGAGTCCGTATCAAAGGTAATGTTGAATGTGTACAAAAACAATACCATTGTTATTCAATCAATTTAATATGCTGTAAACATAATATATTTTCAGGCAAAATATATGACTATATATTTTGAGCAAGTTATCTTAGTATAAACATGCTTGTTAATTTATTTAAGTATCTTTATTGTTAAAATGTTAACTAATGTTGCTAAATGACCTATTTGCTTCAATGTGTATAATGTCTTATAGGACGAAGAAGTTGATGAAACAAGGCAAAAATACTTGTTTCAAAACGCATGTGACGAAGAAACAACTGCAGACAAAGAAGAATTATCAGACAGTTTGAATGAAAAAGGTATTAACATCTAGTACATGAGTGTATAACAATCTAAATGTTCTTTTTGTCTCATTAACGTTCTTTTTGTCCAGCTTTTGCATACCACATTCCTTATCAAACAGTTTCGATTAGATTACAATACTTTATGAAGATTTCGTCGAAATTTATATTTATAGCCTTCCCCAAAGGTAATATTTTATTCAATATTGAGCAATAAGGCATGGAAATCATATTACGAAAGTGACGTAATTAAGAACAAGTTTCATAGCTTTTGTTTAATATTTTCGAAATATTCAATTCAACATATATCGAAACACTTATTACATTGTGACTTTATCTATCTAAAAAGCGTAGGTAATATCTGAATTTTACAAATTATACAATTATGGTAAGTTAAATAAATTAAAATTCTCTTTCGAAAAAAAGGAAACCTTTATTCGTGTTCCAACGTAATGATATTCATTATTAAAATGATTATGTTCATAATTATGATCTTATATAACACAGGTGGTGAGATAAATGAACATTCCAATCTCGAAGAGTCCGTATCAAAGGTAATGTTGACTGTGTAAAAAAAACAAAACCAATTTTATTCGACCAATTTAGTATGCTGTAAACATAATATATTTTCAGGCAAAATAAATGAATATATATTGTGAGCAAGATATCTTAGTAACAATATATGCTTGTTAATTTATTTATGTTTTTATTTTTGTTTAATGTAAACAAAATTTGCTAAATGACTCATTTTGCTCAATGTTTATAATGTTTTATAGAACGAAGAAGGTGCTAAAACAAGACAAAAATACTTGTTTCAAAACGTATGTGACGAAGAAACAACTGTAGACAACGAAGAAATATCAGACAGTTTGAATGAAAAAGGTATTAACTAAAGGTTAAGTATATGAGCGTGTTAAAATATAAATGTATACATTATGTTTTCTCAATTACGTTTTTAATTTTTTCAGCTTTGCAAACCACATTTGTTATCAAACTGTTTCGGTTCAATATGTGCTATGATTATAATTGCGTATGAAGACTTTGTCGAACGTTGTATTTAAAGCCTTCATCAAAGATAACATTTTATTCAATATTGAACATTTAAATTGAATCATATTTACTTCCATCTATTAAGAAAAAAATCAATGCAACAAATATCGATACACTTATTTCAATGTGCTTTTTTATCTAAAAATTGTAACCAATAACTTTATTTTTACAACTTAAACAATAATAAGTTAAATAATTTAAAATTCTCTTTCGAATAATAAATAAAATTAATATGGATAATAAACTATTATTCATCAGAAGATGATAAAGAGGAGACAGCAAAAGACACAGAGGAGACACATAAGCGCGTGCTGGATAGATCATTTCCGACAATTAAAGAATCTATGGATCCTGAACTAATAGTAGATTTTTTGATACAAGACGAAGTTTTCCAGAATACAGTCATTCGTGATATCATTGTATGTCATCAGTTTACTTTGTAGGTCAATAAATAAAATATTGACTTCTTAACTAATGGGTGCATAACATGAATGGATTTTGATGACAACGAATTAAGTATAAAGACACTAATCAAGACGGAATTTCACAATATCGCTTAACCAGCCAAATGAAAGTGTCAAGCAATATTTCACTTTTAAATGGTAGAAATGAAATTTGTTTATTAGAACAAGTGCTATATTGTGCAATTTAGTGTAAAAAATAGACATTTCTGTAACTTCATATAAGAATAATGAGATTGAAAAACAAAAGCACAACAAAAGGACTTTACGACTGTGTAGTAATTGCTCACGAATCAGTCTGGATGCCCTTTTCTTGTTTTGGTATGTAGCGACCGAAGCGGTTCTTCTACCTTTTTATTGCCACTTTGCCTACCTTTAACTGTTAATAGATAATTTTACATGTAAAAATTATTCGATTGTTAGTTTGACTTATTATTATTTAGGAACTAACAACTACAACGAAGAAGAACGAAAGAATTATAGAAAAGGTCAGACAAAGCGGCACCGATGTATATAAACTTTTCAAAAAATACCTTGGAAAAAGCCAACAGTATCTTTTACTTATGTTTATTGAAAAGACTGAAAAAGGGGAAGAAACAACGGACATACAAAACGAATTGAAGGAACAGACTAGACGAAGATTGAAAGGTTGCCTGTTTGGTGTATTAATAATAAATATAATTTTGATTAAAAAGTTAATTACTACTACTACTACTACTACTACTACTACTACTACTACCACTACTACCACCACCACCTCAACCACCATTACTGCTAAAAATAATCATAACAATGACATAATAATAATGATAATAATAATAATAATACATGTAATAATATAATTATATTTATAGTTATATATTATGATGGGTTTACAAAGAATTTTAAGAAAAAAAAACATCGACAGGAGTATAGTATTGTTCACAATAGAATAACAATATGTTCGTACAGTGTCAATGTATAAAATAATCTCGTAGTCGAGACAATATTATTTTTTTTATATCATAATCAAATTCAGTGACATTAGAAAAAAATAAAGATGTGTAGTGTTTTAGCTACAGATGTATCTTTTTGTTTTAGAAATGCGACATCAAAAATCAATTGAGGAAACTTCTGTCAATTTAGTGGAAGAACAATTAGTCATTTCCATTCAAAAGAGAAAACAATTCGAAGGAACAGAAGGTATTCAATTCTCTCTTTCCTCCTTGGACTTGATTTACTGAGATGCACTATAAACTGTTATAGTTTCCCTATACATTGTATATCTTACTAGTCAATATTCATAAAACCTAGGTTTTGCTAAACTTGACAGATAAGTATGTCAGATGCTTTATATTTAAACCATGGAAATTATATATTAAGTGGAATATGATATCCGTTGCACTTTATTACAATTGCATTTTGCAGTTTAATGTAAGGTCTACACTTTAAGCAGAGTGGCTATATGTTTATTAACTATTTATTTTGAATAAAAAAGACAAACGTATAAGTCTTTCCCTTAGAAAGACACATCGCAAAATGATACGCCTTTATAATTGCGTACATATTTTTATGTGAATATGTTAATATTTAACTTACTATTTGAAATTTATAAATATTTTTATTCAGATATAGAGGAGAAATTGGGTATATACACTTCATCTTATCCCAGTTCAGAGGAATGCTGCAATGTAGTTAAATGCATTTTTGAAGGATCAAAAGAAAAATATTCAGATCAACTAATCAAAGCAGTTAAAGATGTAGCCTCTATTATGAACGTAGAGGTCAAAGCAGCATCTGTGGATAAAGATAATACGGTTGTGATGACTATGGCGTGTGCATCGTGTGAAGAAATAAGAAAACTGTTAAAGATACTGAAAGGGAATGAATTTAAATCAAAAATAGAAAACCTTAAAACTGTTCTCTCTAAAGAATTCGACATTGTCTGCGTCATTCATGCCAACGTATCACATGAAAAGATAAAGGAAGTCCAACAGCATTTGAGTATGCATTATATGTTATAATTATATGTTATAATTATTGCTAAATAATTAACGTGTATTCTTAAGGTTTTTTTTTCTTTTTGAAAAAAAAATTCTCTTTAAATATTTATTCTTGCTGAATGCACTGTACTATTTCATAGCAAAACGCCATAGATTTGATATTTACTACATCTTTTCCTTTATAATGATATCATGCATTTTTTTTATTTTAACAGTTCTTCATTTGCATTTCATTCGATTGCAATCACTAACACAGAGTTGTAAATATCTTTAAATCAACTATTAATCCGTGTTTTGACGATGTTTCCTACAAGTCATCTCAATATGTATAGCGTATTATAATCAGTCTTCCGTGTAAAAGTTTTATATACATCAAACTACTGTATTCATGATTTATACAAACGTTTGGGTGTAAAGTTTTTACTAAAGTTTACTTTTCTATACATATAACGTCAGGTATGCAACAGTTTACTTTGTTTTATTGACTTCAGTGGAACAGGGTGTCATAAATGAAACACACGCTGACGATTTATTCTGCGAAAATCATCCCCAACAACAGGCTGAGCTGTTTTGTCCCGAACATGATAAGTTTGTTTGTCATAAATGCGAAGAAAAGCATAGGTAAGGCTTTTATATTAAACACAATGCATTTATGCACTAACATTGTGATACTTATTTTCGTTCTGCACAGTGAAACACTCATGTACATGTAACTTGTTCCTGCTTTCATAATACATTGTTCCTCGTTTTCGTCAGTATCATTGAAACCAGTACGTGCATGTTGGCCAAATTTCAAATTCTGAACTACTTTTGTCCTCTTAAAATTACTTTAGTATTTGAACATAATGTAAACCATTGCAGATATTAAGTTAAAACTTAAGCCTCATCATTTAATTTAAACAAAAAATAACCATTAAAAAAGACTTTACTTCCAGATTTTTGTTTTAGTTGCTGTGTAAACACCGTGAAATCCTTACTCCTAACAAATTAACACTAGGCTAGAATTTGTTTATTTTATTATCTCTGTGCATATATTTGTATTAATCTCTGATTGGTTGTTTATGGGCTTAATTTTAGTCATCAGAATTCATCTGAATACTTGTCTTGTTTTCCACTTCAACAATAAAAACTGTAGGTAATTTTGCATAAAGATAACTAAAACGTAAACACAAACAAACACGGTCACGTTTTTAATAATAGTAATGATTTATCTTCTTTAGAATGTGCCAGCGTGTAAGACAAATAACAAAAGATGTGAGCACAAAAATGTACAGAATCAGAAGTGATGAACCGGCAAATAAATTGTGTACGACAATGAAACTTTGTACCCTACCTTCAGGTGAAATTCTGCACATCGACAATGTAAACAAAAAGTTGAAGAAGCTTGATTTGACCCATAGCGTTGTAGGCCAATGTACGTTTGATAAGTCGAAAACTCCGTTTGACGTTTGTGCAATTCATGCCTCAAAAGCCTTTGTTACCTTTGGCCACCAGGTTTGTGAAGTTAATGTTGAGGATATTGATATTCACGTAGAGAAGTTTTTCAAAACAAAGGCCCCTTGTTTTCGCTTATACAGAAAAGACAGTGTCATATACTATACCGACAACCTTTCCATCTATACGTGTGATGAAAACGGAGAAAATCATAAAGAGTTACATCAGTTTGGGCAGGAAATTGTATGTTATGCCTTAGTTGTTAATGATGACAGAAGTAAGATTGTTGTGGCTGCTGGGGAGGTTGGCCTTATTATAATTGATGCGAACAACCCAAATCCGTCGACAGTAACACTACAGGAATTACAGGGTTGTACTGATCTATGCATAGTAAAAAGTGAAATGCTTCTCGTGTGTGCGTCTGACACGTTATTTCTAGTAGATATCAAACTTGGGAAGGTATTGAAACAAGCTGCAATTGGGTTGCGCTGCCCTAGGTCGTTTGCCTTTGACGTTATAGACAATTCGGTGATCGGTGGCAATCTAGGAAATGATTTCATTTCAGTATTTAATGCAAATATTGAGTATGATGCTACGTAAGACGTAATGGGTATTCAGGCTGCAATAAAGCGCCTGCGTATGAACTGAAATAACCGTGTGTCATCTTATGTTTAATTTAGTCTATTATGTCAAGTATTTACTTCAACTGATTTGCTGGGATATTTAGTAAATACAATGTATTTCTATTGTAATCATTTGAACATTTGAGATTGTTGAACTCAGTTTATGTGTACACTCATCTTCTGGTTGTCGCTTACATTTGTTTATGAAGACAAATCATTTCTGTTTATTATTCTTGCTTTTCTTAAACATTTTGTGTCATAAATATTATAATATCTCATAATTAAGCGATTATACTCCTGATTTTGTTTGGCAAAGAAATATGTTTTTGTGTGGTGGGTTATTAGGCTATTAATGATTTGAAAATATAATAATATTTATAAATTTGTCATTGAATAAAACAGTTTGACAGGTAATTTGGTTAAACAGTACATTTACATATCTCGCACACATATTTTAATGTTTTATATGATTCATGTTTGTTTTAAAATTCAATATTCTATTCTTGTGTGTTTTTCAAGCATCATTTATGAATGGCATATTTATTCATTGTTGACAATTTGGTGGTATATTTCATAATAACATTATAGAAAAAAATGTTTTGTAGTCCCCTACCGGTTTAACCCGAGGGGACTTTACGTTTGGGCTCTGTTCGTCAGTCTGGCCGTCTGCCTGCATTGTATGATAGGGAAAGTGGGCCATTGAACTGTTAACAAAACTAAAAAGAACACTATAGTTCATTCTGCTACAAAAGAATCGGGTGCAATGGCACTTCACTAAACTAAACAAGAATGATTATTTCTATAACTCTGGTCTTATCTTTCATACTTTTTCTACTCCAGATGTCAAGTATATGTTTCTTAATTTCACACCTGACTTAGGAGAGTCAATAATCTTGCTTGACTATTTCCAGAATTATGGCTCTCTTGAACTTGAAATTATTATGTTTTACTGTAATTTCATTTCTTAAAGGGTAAACTTTAATATTTGAAAGCCCACATCATATTAAAATGACAAGGTTAATAAATCTAACGTCCATATTTCCAGAATGATCCCCTTTTAACTTTGAAGTGTCCTATTTAACTCTATAACTCTCTTATTTTTTCATGGTTTTGCATTAAAAATTAAATAAATGTTTATTATCATCACCTACATCATCTGTAATAAGATGTATTAGTCTAGCATCTGGAATTTTATGATTATTTTAATTTTGAACTTGAAATTAGTTTGAAATTTCTTACATTTTTTAACTTTTCTTCTCTGTTACTATAAATGGTACTTACATTACTCTTAAGACAATTGTTCTTGTCATAGCTCATATCATGTATGAAAAGGTTCATTAGTGTAGAATCTTTATTCAAAACTTAATTCCTCTTTATTTTAAGAATTTTGATGAAAATATGTTATATTTTGGTTACAATCAAGGAGGTTTAAAGATTGGTCATTGGTCTGTAAGTCTTTCTGTCCGTCAGTCCCTCAAATTTTTATCGTCTTTTAAAAATCTTGGAAATGTTTCAACAAAATTTTATAAAATAGAGGAGAATTGAAATAATACATATTCATCTTAAGAAAATGTAAATTGGATCTTTTGATGATCTGTTGTATTAACATTACTTCCTATTTAGGCAGGAACATTTTAACACCTTAATATGACACAGACAAACTATGAACTCAAAAAGTCATCTATGTTTTCCAAATTGGCATCATTGAATGGCCATGACCCTTCTGAATGTTGCTGACATATTTCTTGTAGGGTTCGAACCGGTATGGGGCTTTTTGTTTTGCCTGTAAGCTTTGATAATTGCCTGTTTTATTTTTAAATAAATGATTATAATATTGCCTATTGTTACACATATTACTAAATTATATCAACACTACAAAGGGAAGATACTCTGATTAAAGCTTTTGAACCAGACCAATGAATCATTCCCCGTGGATTGAAAATTCATTAGTTATATGAAATAGCTGGCGCTTTATTCTGTTAAATAAGTTAATTCTGCCAAGCTTATTCATGTTAAATAACATGAATGGAAATGGTTATGTAAAAGATATTATTAATGCCATAAAAGTATATACGAATGATATATACTAAAACAGAAACCTGAAAATTCCCTCCGATTAAAATTTATAAATAGACGAGAATGTGCATTACATGCATGCATTTTTGTTCATACGCATTTTGATTTAACAACATTGAAAAAATAATATTTTGATTTTTATTAAAAAACGAAATCATCATTTCGCCATTATGATAATTTAGTATAGTAATTTTATATATTCTATTTGTATGACAGTATATAAATAACACATGGGTTTGTGGGTAACAGTAAAAATATCATCCCGAGGAAAATACTGTTACCCGAGGCGTAGCCGAGTATTTATACGAGGGATGATATTTTTACTGTTACCCACAAACCCATGTGTTATTTATTTTATTACCCCGAACAAATACTGTGATGATCTGAATTTCTCAACTAAATCTAACTGTAACAAAAATAAGCCAAGAGAAGCAATAACTAAACTGTCCTTACCTTGCAAGTTTTAAGTGCACTGTAGGCCTACTTGAGAAGATGTTTTTCTTTTATTCCTTAGGCAAGTGATGATATCTACCAGTCATAAACATAAAATAAGCTGTGTTTTGTTCAGAAAACAAAACACTAACCCATTTATAAGGTTATGATCTGTGAAATCTGATCCTTCTGCATCCAGAATATTCTTCGCATAGTTTTTGACAAAGTGCATTTAGAAAATAACGATGATATCCTACAGATGTCTGTCCACCAACTCTACTGTATCTGTAACGTTTCACTGGTTAAAATTGTTAAATTATCCTTTGTTGCATGCTTTAATTGTCTGCATGTTCCAGTTTGACACAAAATTATTTACATTACAATTACTTCCGTTGAAAACGGATGTTTCCTGTTGAATATTCAACAAAAAGATATTTAATACGCGAAAGGGACTCTAGGGTGCAAAGAACTAAATTTTATCAGAGTAATATTTACTTCGGCGATGCCCTATCGTCGAAAATAAGAATGAATCGAGAAAAAAAATGGCGGCCATTTTATTTCATTTTATTTAGAAAATAGACCACGTGACCAGATTTTATACTGTTAAAAATACTGTTACCTATGTAACAGTACAAAATTCGTAGTCACGTGGTACACTTGCAATAACAGTAAGAATAACTCCCAGAGGCCTATGGGAAATTAACATTACGAAAAAAGTGAGGGGTAATAATATAAAATAATCCCAGGAAGATATACTGAATGATTAATGAAAATGAATATTAAGCATGTTAGCTAAAGGGAACAATAAATATTTCAAATCAGTTCATAAACGAATATTTATTTACATTTTCATCTTTTTACAATATGTAGACTCAATCAAATAGAAAAAACGATTTATTGAAGTTAAACCACTTTTATATTTTCGTTCAGAACTATGTCAACAAGTTTTACTTTCTACTCAAAGATATAATATTAAATATTTGCTTAAAAATATAAGTACAATATTTATCATTTTGAAATGTTATTTTCAGTGTGAACTAATTAATGAGTTGTTTCGTCAGTTACGAATGTCAACATTTTTATTCGTTAAATCACATAAACATGTTAGGCGTTTTACATATTACCGTACGTAAAACGCATATACACCCGTCTACATTTGAAAATGATATTTCATCATCTGAAGAAATTTTTCGCCAATGTTGACATTCTTAGTAATAACAAAATGCCATTTGTCACATAAAAAGTGTACTTAATCGTATCTTACATGACCGTTAATGTTATTTGCCTGATGCCAAACTGTCATCAAAAACAAATTATTCGACATATTTGTGGCAAAAACAAATAATAAGTCGATGCCTGCGTAGGACAACTGTGTCAGATACTATTGATATTAAAAGAGAAAATAAACATTTCTTTTCTTGTACATTTACGTCATAAAACGCTTTTCACATAAGAAAACAAAGTGTTTTCTTTCAAAAGGTCGAATGCTCTATTGAAATTAAATGCATATGCAAAAGTATACCATTTAAGAAATCGTGCTGCCCAAACAGCTTGTACGTCAGATAAATGACCCTCATTTTTATGTATGTAAAAATTGTAAGGACAAAATGATTTGATACAATCTATGATATTTCCATTACTATAATTATCTTAAATTTAGAAATACACTTATATAGCTTACAAATTACTAACTTCAGAATTTGTGTCAGTAACTGCAAGTATGCTTCTCAACTAGTTTTAATATCGAGCTTAGGATAAATTTTAAATGTTTCAAACATATTTAATAATGTCAAAATGGCTAAATATTAGACAGAGAAGATAAAACGCTTTCCACCAGGCGAAAATATCTTTTCGGAACAACCTTGAAATTAATAGCCTGATAACTAGGGTATTATTTATATACAGCATAAAATGCTTAATTTCACCAGAAAAATATGTGATCAATTTCTACAATTAAACGGTATGTTTGTTCTTACATGAACACATTTTCAATGACTTTGTTATTTATTTTGCAACATATTAGTATTACAAATAAGTATTATAGTACTTCCAGAGATAAGCCCACTTACAAAAATGTCTTATTAACAAATCCCTTTTATTAATAATGATAATTCATTTAATATCTCACTAAGTTTTGACTCAAACTTTAACATTTAATTATATTCCATTGGAATGATATATCTAAACATAATAATGAAATATCTTTGATTTGTTCATAGATTTGATGCAATTAAATCAGTTTTAATATTTCAACGAAGATGTATAACCTGCCAATAGCGCAATGGTTCTTTGACGACTCTAGACTGTTGAAGATGATTACAGAAATATACTTTTTCTCTTGGGACAAAACAGAGCGTCTGATATGTAATGATGTAGTCTTATATGTAATTCTACATTTTATAGATTTGTCAATAGCTGTCTTTCTGCAGTTTACAAAACGTCAAACGTCTAGATATATTAGATATATGTAATAAACATTATTACTGGTACGAGAAGTATGAGAAGTACTGTGGTGCAATTTTTTGCGTTGACAAGAAAGAGTCTATTTATATGAGGGACAGTGAGCAATATCGATATACAAATAGATATACATAATTATATACATATAGATATACATGTACAATGTTTGATATGCTTGTATAATGTAACATATGCATGTAAAATGTTAGATATGTATGTATAATGTTCGATATATATGTTCAATGTTAGATATGCATGTATAATCTGATATATGCAAGTATAATGTCAGACATACATGAATAATGTTGATTTACATGCTTAATCTTAGAGAAGTTTTAAATAGTTTCAAAACGTTTACTCTGTCAACTTCGATAAACAATTCTTGTCGATAAGTAACGAGATATAATTTAAAAAACATGAAGTGGTTCTACTGATAGAAAATGTTTCAAATGTTCAAGCCTTTACTACAAGTTACAAATCATGTAAAAAACATAGATACATTATATTGAATACGTTACATATCGCAATGCGTCGAAGATGAACGTTACATTCATATTCAGTTTGCTTTACATAGTTTTCTTTTTACCCAGCCTCCAGATATGAGGTGAGACGTTTGCAACTCAATTGTTTCTCTTTTGAAAAAGAATACTTCTACACTACCCGTATCAAATAAATATGTTTGGAAAAAAATCAAAAAAGAAAGAAAGAAAAAAACGCACATGCACGAGATCACTGCTAATCTCCTATAAAATTACAGCACATTATTTTTTTCATATAAATTTCATTTTTTTTTACGAATACAAAGGCCGATAGGCCTGAATGATACATTACAAAGCATTTGTACGATAAACCGCGCGTTATTATACTAAAATGCAAGACAAATAAATATCTATTTCCATTTTAACGCGCTTATCAAAAAGGGAATTTATAAAAATATATATTGAACTACATTGAGCGCATAAGTAACATTCCTGACGTCATTGTTAGATAACAAAGATATTCTATATTACATCTCTTTCTTTCGTGAACCGATCATTGGCTCTTTGATTATGGAAGAAATAATTTCATTCAAATATTTAAAAGAAATCGTTATTTATAATTATGATAAATATTAAATATCCTTTAAATACTCAACTATCTTTCAAAAGAATATTCAAATAAAGGAATTGTAACATTCATAGCTGGCTATAATATAATTCATTAGTTGACATATAAAAAACGATATTGTATACTATTTTTTCAAATTTTATGAATAAAGTGACTGTTTATTACATCCTTAAGAAAACAGTTTAAATGTATAATGTAAAGTTAATGCCAGTCACATCTTGCATCAGAATCGTATACATTTTTCTTTCTTTATAAAACTTATGGCAAATAAAAGTTTAAATAATTGTTTCAGAGCATGTTAGAGCTAATAACTAAAGAAAAAAAAAAGAATCTTTTAATAAAAAATATATTAGCATTTTTAGGCATGATGGGCCTTTTAGAAACTTTAAATGGTTTAGCTTAAAATGATCATTTGTTAACTTCCTGGAGCACGAGACTTCCAAACATCAACCATTGCAACATTTATGTCGACATGTTCATGTGCTTTTTCGAGACGTGTTTTTTTTCTTACTTTTCGTTTTAATAACTAATCTCCTACTCGTCCTGTTTGATATTCTAGCAGGTCTAAAAAGAAGTTTAATTTTGCGCATTGAGTCAACCAACAAAAACAAGAAAACCATTTCTATCCTTTTTCAATATTTCACGTCGTGTTAATTATATTAGTTGTTCTACAGTATTTTTTAATGCAAAAGATTAACTTATTTGTAGCAGCTTCGTTTTAAACTAGATTGCATTATTTAATGTTATATTTTCTCGCTGTGAAATTGTTATGCAAGTGCCTATAAAATAAAAGTGTTTTTTTCTTCCTAAATATATTTAGCAGAAGTGGATTTCATCTTGAATCCTTTTAATTGATGAAAAAAAAGAGAAAACAGGGTCTGTTGTCAAGCCGTTTAAGATCATTTTCTGCTAATATCCATCACATAAACAGCATTTCCAAGTCGCTGACATAAAGTCAAAGTGTTAAAACAAGTCATTCGCAGCTTAGAAAGTACAGACGCCGATTATGCTAAAGCAACGTGACCTATCATGAGATTAGCTGATTTAGCATGCTTGGACAAATGTTTCTCGATAAAAGTTGATCGACAGGAAGAAGTGAATGATAACTCTTTACAAAATGACAAAAAATGGAAAGATTAATCAGTTACATTGACCTTAGGTTAATGTTTCCTTATACCAAACTTTTGTTTTCAATAGTACGTTATGCTA